TTTTGGGGACACTTACTTGATTGAACATGGCACACTTTGTTAGCATAAAGCTGAGATTGTTGTTCTTATTGTTAGGTGTCATCGAGTCATAGCAACTCTAAGAACAGCCGTTCTGAAACCTGCCCTATTCTGTGTCATCCTTACCATCTCTGAGACACTACAGCCCATTGCTGAAGTCACGGTGTCAATCCACCTCATTTGGGGTCTTCCTTTCTTTTGCTGACCCTCCATTTTTTTCAAGCATGATATACCTTTCCAAAGTATGGTCTCACTTAGCTACATGCCCAAAGTATGAAAGACAAAGCTTGGTCATCCTTGACTCCAAGGAACACTCTAGTTACACACTTTGCAGGATACATCTGATTTTTTGGGAGCAAATGGAACATTCAATACTCTTCTTCAGCACCACAACTCAAAGGCGTCTATTCTTTTTCTGTCATCCTTATTCACTATCTAGCTCTCTGATGCCTGGCAGGTGATTGAGAAAACCATGGCATGAATCAGGTGCACCTTTATCTTCAAATTGAGATCATTGCTCTACATTGTTTTGGAGAGGCCCTTGACTGCAAACTTGTCCAATGCAATACGTCTCCTGATTTCCTGACTGTTGGTGCCAAGGGTATTGATTGTTGATCCAAGCAAGACAAAATAATTGGAAATACAAGCTGGTTTTAGAAGAGGTCATGGCATCAAGGATATTATTTGTGATGTCAGATTGATCTTAGCTGAAAGCAGAGAATACCAGAAGACTGTATATTTGGCTTTTATTGATTATGCAAAGGCATTTGACTGATTGGATCATAACAAATTAAGGCTTGCATTGATAAGAATAGGAATCCTAGAACACTTAATTGTACTCCTGGAGAATTTATACCTAAACCAAGAAGCTCTTGTGTGAATAGAACAAGAAAACACTGTTTAAGATCAGAAAGAGTGTGTGTCAAGGGTGTACCCTTTCCCGATAGTTCTTTCATTTGAATGCTGAGCAAATCATTTGCAAAGCTAGACTCTGTGAAAAGGAAAGGGACAACAGAAATGTAGGAAGACTCAACAACTTGCTTTATGCTGACAACACAACTTTGCTTGCTGAAAATGAGGAGAATATGAAATGCCTACTGCAGAAGATCAAGGGCTACAGCCTTCAGTATGGACCACATCTCAGCATCAAGAAGATAAAGACTCTCACCACAGGCCCACCAATCAGCAGTACAATTGAGGGAGAAAAGATTGAAGCTGTCAGTGATTTCAAAGCAGAGATTAGGTGAAACCAAGTTTCTCCTTGAAGGCTAGGATTTTGAAGCCCCGTCTCACATATTTTGGGCACATGGCCAGAAGGGGCCAGTCCCTGGAGAGGGACATCATACTTGGAAGGGTGGAGAAGAAGAGCCCAGATGACATGGATTGTTATAGGACCCAGAATAGTGGGGTTGGTGTGTCGGAATCAGTGACTCTAGACCAGGACAGGAGAGGCTTTAGAGCTGCTGTACGTAGGGTTGCTATGGGTCACTGGCAACTTGACAGCACATAACAATACATAAAAGTGATCTCAGGCAGAGCAGTGTGGTGCATGGACAGAACGTTACAGCTGCTTGAGTGGGCATGAGTTGGAAGAGGTAATACTTAAGGCCATAGAGATGACGGTAACAGGAAGATTGAACCTCACTGATCACCAACCAGTGGCTGGTATGCACCCTGGTACAGTCTAAGGTGAGTAGATCCAATATTCAAATTCTGACTTTACTGAAAAACTGCTTGCAAAAATTCAGTGACCACACTATGTTGAGTCAAGTGACAAATAACTGCTCCATTTTTCTACTTGTTCACCATTCTGATTCCATCTCTTTCTCTAGTCAGTATTTGGTCACCTAATCTTTCCCTTTGAAGCTCAGGATGCCAGGCTTATTATCCATATTTATCTCATTTGGTTTCTTTGTCCAAGAAAACAGTTGTTTCCATGTAAACAAATAAGAACGTTAACCTAAACGTTTGTATACTTACTAGTGATATATGTTAATTTGAGGTTTCATTCAACAGAATTAGCTTACTTCTAATTCTCACAATAAATCTTATTAAAATTTTATCTCTCTAACAAACATTGTATTATTATCCAAACATATATTGATAACATTTGAGATATGTAGAGGTGAGGACATAACCATGCTTCAATATTGTGTCTACCTACAGAAAATGAAATCAAATTTGAAGTTAACTATATGGTCAACTCCTGGAAAAGCTTCCTATGAGTAAAGCATCTGGCTTATTAAGAGAGAGAAAAAGAAAACAATTATCCAATTTTTTTTCTCTTAAGAACAATCTCATATTTTTAAAATTGGCCCTCTTCATGATCCTATAAAATGATCAGGCACTGGGCCAACTGGCAGCATCAGGACAGATCGTGAAGAAATTGAGATTGTTCACAGCTTCAGTTTGCTTGGCTCCACAGTCAACACTCTTGGCACCAGTAGCCAGGAAATTAAAAGGCGCATTGCCGTGGGAAAGTCTGCTGTTAGGGACCTCTCCAACGTACTGAAGAGCAATGGTGTCTCTTTGGAGACTAAGGTGCATCTGATACAGGCAATGGTCTTTGCTATCATTTGTTATGTATCAGAGAGTTGGATAATGACTAAGGAGGATAGAAGGAGAATTGATGCCTTTGAGCTGTGGTGCTGGACAAGAGTATTGAGGGTACCATGGACTTCTAGGAAAACAAACAGATTCATCCTGGAAAGGGTCAAACCGGGCTGCTCCTTGGAGGCAAGGATTCTAAGGCCCTGTCTAACATACTTTGGACATGTTGTAAGGAGGGACAGGTCCTTGGAAAGGGACATAGTGCTTGGTGGGGTGGAGGAACAGCGCAGAAGGGGAAGGCCCACTATGAGGTGGGTTGATTCAGTGATTGGGGTAATTGGGATAGGTGTATTGGAGATGGTGAGATTGGCATAGGACAGAGCAGAGTTTAGGGCTGTTGTACATAGGGTTGCTATGAGTCACAAGTGACTTGATGGCATATAATAATAACAACAGAATATATATAAACCATTTTATAATCAAATTATATACTATCTAAATAGATATTATACCTTGCTGAGGTTTTGTACTCACTTGATAATGGGTCACTTTATATAAATAACTGGATAATAATTAAGGAAGTCTTAAGATCAGTTTATATTTAACATGTTCTTATTTCCTAGGGAGCTCTAGTGGCCTAGTGGTAGGAAGCTGTGTTGCAAACCCAAAACACGCATTTCAAATCCACCAGCTGCTCCGTGGAATAAGGATGGACAATCTCCACCTGTGGGATTAAATGCCTCTGAAAACCCACCAGAAGGTCAGCTATGGGTCAAAGGTACACAACAACAACATCTATATAAGTGCGATTAATCTGGATATGTATGTGATATGTATGTATATGATAAGGCCATCAACTTCTAATTACAATAATTTGCCATTTCTTTGCCTGAGGTGTTTTATTTAAATTAAAACAGGGGACTCAGAAGGATTCAAATTTGAGCCGTAATGAAGATGGTAGAATGATGACCTTTGCCCTCAAGTTTTCCTTAGAAAATAAATATTTTGGTCCTTTCCAATGGAGTTGAGCTCCGAGGCCAAAAATTTCCAGATCTGCCTTTTGTTAATATTTCAAACTTAACACCACAAAGCGTGAGTTTATCACCTTAGATCGCATTAAACAAAAATAAGAACATGAGCCATCGCCTAGACCTGAGGTCTAAAGTGATAACATTCCTTGCATTGTTTCACTTAACCATCAGAACAAAACTCTGAAGTAGTTATCATTGCTTTTATTACATTTTATTTTCATATGGTTAAATGTCAAAAATTGCAATCCAACACCTAACATGTACTTGTTACTTGCTAAATATTATTGTTGTCGTTGTGTGCTGTCAAGTGGGAACCTACTCATAGCTGACCCTTCTGTGGATTTTTCGAGACTGTAAAACTCAAGGCATGAGATTGCTCATCCTTTTCTCATGGAACAGCTAGCTGCTGGATTCAAACTGTCTGCCTTTGGGTTGATAGCATAACACCTTACAACTTGACTACCAGAGCTGTCTTTACTAAGTATAGAACTAGAGATTTTTTTTCTCAGGGGTCTTTGTTTTCTGCAAGGAATAAAAGAGTTAGTCTTAAATTCACAGTTCAGTTCAGATTTTTTTAAATTATTTTGAAGTGTAGGCATAATTTTCTTTTTTTGTTTTAATAAATAATTTCTTTATTGTGATTTTAACAAAAGTTTTCGGAAAACGTGGATTTCCATTCATTGTTGCACCGTTTTCCTCCCTACCTCCCACCAGTTCATTTTTCTTCTTTTTAGAAAATCATTCACTATTGCACAATTTCATCCCTTTCCACCCCAGTCCACTTTGCTGTGCACAAATAATGCCTAATCATATATTCCTTTTCAATAATTCTTTTTCTCATCTATTCCAATGCATTGGTCATTATTTGCATGTGCCTCTTAATTGTATCTCTTCTAATGTTGTAGATAAGACAGTCTTGTAATGAGAGATGTCTTTCTCCCGCAAGTCGCCCTGGTTCCTGTGTCATGTGAAATGAAGACATCCTTAATACACTGTAGCTGCCTTATCCTCGGTGCTTGGATGTGCTTCAGAATTCTTCAACAGTTCACTCTATGTTGCCATAACAACTATTCAGACTTGATATCTAAGATAAAAGCTGTTTTTCATCTTTACCACATAAGTGAGTTCTTATTTCTCCATACTGAAACTGTGACTGTTTTAAACGTTTTTTCACTTCAATTCAGTTTGTTATTTCACAACAAATCTCCAATTATGTATTCTCATTTATAATAACACTTAAAATACCTTTGTATATGGACACACCAAACTGTTGATGACTGTGAATATCAAATGCTATGCTAATGACTATGCTAATATCAAAACTGGTCTGAGGCAATGTCTCTTTGGTAATTCAGATTCCATGTGTTCACCGTGGAGGTTTTCATTATTTCCTCTGCAATAATGCAAAACCAAAGCTTTGTAACGGAGTTCATCCTTTTGGGACTGTCACAGAATCCAAATGTTCAGAAAATAATATTTGCTATATTTTTGTTTGGCTACGTTGCAACTGTTGGGGGCAATTTGTTAATTGTTGTGACTATTGTCAGCAGCCCCACACTTCTGGGCTCCCCCATGTATTTCTTTCTGGCGTTCCTGTCTTTCCTGGATGCATGCTTTTCTTCTGTCATTGCCCCCAAAACAATTGTAGATTCCCTCTATGAGAAGAAAACCATCTCCTTCGGAGGCTGCTTTACTCAGCTCTTCACTGAACACTTCTTCGCAGGAGTGGAGATTATTGTGCTCTCCGTCATGGCTTTTGACCGCTATGTGGCTATTTGCAAGCCTTTGCACTACTCCTCGATCATGAACTGGAGACTCTGCGGCATTTTGATGGGAGTAGCTTGGATAGGAGGCTTACTCCACTCTGTGATACTAATTCTCTGTACAATCTGGCTGCCCTTCTGTGGCCCCAATATCATCGATCATTTTATATGTGATTTATTCCCATTGCTGGAGCTTGCCTGCACTGACACTCATGCTCTTGGTCTGTTTTTGGTTATTAATAGTGGGCTGATCTGCATTTTAAATTTCTCCTTGTTGCTTATGTCCTATTACGTCATCTTACGCTCTCTCAGGTCTCACAGCTCTGAAGGCCGGCGGAAAGCTCTCTCCACTTGTGGGTCTCACATTACTGTCGTGGTTTTATTTTTTGTCCCGTGCATATTTGAATATGCACGACCACCATCTTCTTTCTCCTTTGACAAGATGGTAGCTATATTTTATACTATACTAACTCCACTGCTCAACCCTTTTATTTACACTTTTAGAAATAAGGAGGTGAAGAATGCCATGAGGAAGTTGTGTACCAAGTTTTGGCTGGTTTCTAAGGAAAAATAAAGCCGTCAAAAAAATAGAAAAATTTGAGTAGTAAGATATCATAAAGAGCTAAATCAAGAACTTTGCAAGACAAAAGAGGATTCGATGCAACAGAAAAACACCAACTCCAGGTTGGTGTTTGTTGATGTTATTGTTCAATGTAAAAATGTTGATGAATGAAATTAAAACCACCAATTCCATGTTGAGGGTTTATGTTGATGTTGTAGGTGTTAAGTTTGACTAAGTCAACCAGGATCCATAACCACCCTGTGAAGAACAGATTGAACTCTTGTCCTATCCTGTGCCATCCTCATAATCTCTACCATGATCAAGTTCATTGTGGCAGTTACGGCTTCAGTTCATCTTCCTGAGGGTCCTTCTCTATTTGATTAACTTTTTCTTTTCCCCAGAATGATGTCTTTTTCTAAGAGCCGATGCCTCTTGAGCACATGACAAACATTATGTCAAATGAAGTTTTACTCTCCTTAATTCTAAAGAGCACCCTGATTTCCTCAAGATATGTTTGTTTGTTCACTTGTCAATCCATAGAATAGACAATAATTTTCACAAGTATCACAATTTAAAATCATCCATTCTTCTTTGATCTTTCCTTCTTCATTGTTCAGATTTCACATACGTATGAATAAACTATGCAATTGCATGTACTATGGCTGATGTCAGACACATCTTGTTCTTTAAACTGACTTCATTGTTCTTTAGTACTTTAAAGAGATCCTTGTTAGCAGCTTTGCCCAATGTAATGCATCTCTTGATTTCTAGACTGTTGCTATCAGGGGTGTTAATTGTATATTCAAATGAAATGAAATTCTTGACAACTTCAATATTTTCTCCATTTATCATGGCATTGTCTATAGGTCCATTTGTGACCATTTTTGCTTTTTTGATAATGAAGTGTAATTCACACTAAAAGCTGAGGTTTTGGTTTGTTTGTTTGTTTTATCTTTTTCCAAAAGTCCATCAAGTCTTTCTCACTTTCTACAAGCAAGGCTATGTCATCTACATAATATAGGTTGTTGATGACTCTTTGGCCAATCTGGATGTCACGTTCTTCTTCATGTAGACCAGCTTCCTAATTATTTGCTCAGTGCGCAGACTGAATATTGGTGTTGTATAACACTGATTCACAACCAACCCACAGCTGACCCTCCAGCAGGTTTTCAGAGGCAATTAATCACATGGGAAAAGACTGATCATCTTTCTCTTGTAAAGCAGCTGGTAGATCCTAAATGTGTACCATTACGCTGGTAGTGCAATTCCTTACCACTAAGTCATAAGATTGGAAGCAGACTTGGAATCCACTTCCTAAACAACATTCCTCCAGAAGCTCTAGGAGCTTTGATAAATGTCAATAGTTATAAAAAGGCATTAGATCTTTTTGTTCATAGGGGTGCTATGAGTCGTGCTTGACTTGAAGACATTCAACAATAACAAGTCATCAGAGCTCACTATATGTGTGGAGAAAGGCTGTATCTCTGATGAACATCTTTGCTGAATATATATCATAAGGCATCTCTTTTCATTGTTCGCAGGACTACTTTTGTGGTCTACATCTAGATTCCTGCTGAGCACAATTCTGTGTACTCTGCCTATTCCTTCTGCTGTTATCCACTATTAGCTAGAATGCATGCATTCAGACATCTTTGCATAGTCAAGGAGAGCGCCTAAAGATTTTTCTGGCATTCTCTGCTTTCAGTCAGGATCCATTTGATTTCAGCAATGATATCTTAACCTCCACTTCCCCTTCTGAATCTAGCTGAATTTCTGACAGTTCCTTGTCAAGATAATATTCTGATTATTTTTTGTTCTATTCAACAAGATTTGATTTATATATGATATGAAAGTTCTTTTTCAATACTTTCTTTATTCTGCTAAACAATCTTGCTTTGGAATGAGCAGAAGTGTGATATCAGAAGAAATCAACTAGAAAGTCAATTGGCCAGTTTCTTAGTATGTTGTTGTTGTTGTTATTAGGTGTTGCAGAGTCGAGTATCACTCATAGAAACCCTATGAACACGCGATCTGAACCCTGCTCTGTCCTGAGCCATCCTCATACTACTTCCTGACACACAAGAGCCCGTTGCAGCAGTTACCGTGTCAATACACCCGGTTGACGCTCTTCCTCTTTTTGCCAATCCTCTGTCTTTCTGAGCACCATGTAACAGCCCTCCTAGTAATGATAACTGATCTCCTTCAACAGATAGAGTCGATTCGATTTCTGTGTGTTCCATTCTGCCAGATCCACATATGTTGTCTTTTATTTATTTTAACAAGGTATTTTCTGGGAATAATCTAGCAGAATAACAAAACTAAGAGCATATAGATACTATTTTATGTTGTCCAATCAAACTAAGGTACTGTAGACCTTATAAAACGGTAGCCTGAGATATTTACATGGCAAATCGTGACCACTTTGTATTTGCATGACCCTGCTCAGTTACACAGTGAAAGTTACAAAGATGACCACTAGAAGAGTCATATACAGAATTTCATTGCACTGCAGCTTGAATGGTAATTTTCATATGTATGAAGATTTTCCCCCCATACAAAGCTATATAGTGATTAATTATAAATGTGTTGTCCAATAATGCCTGTGCCCTAGTATGTTTTTTAAAAATACCCTCTCCTTGAGTGTGGACAAGTTGTGTGACTTTCTTATAAGAATAGACCACAGTAAAGGTAAAGGAATAACACTTTCATTGCTATGTTATATATTTTCCGTCTTACTCAGACTTTGTCTTTTCCTTTTTTCCCCCCTTTGTTTTTGTGAAAAAAGCTCTGAGATTGTGAAATACCTCTTGGAAAGGCACAGATAGTTAGAAATTGATATACTGTAGTTGATAGTTAGAAAGAAAACTGAGATTCTAAGTTCAGTCCCTGGGAAGAAATTGAATTCTGCCATCAACCACATGACTTGTTACAAATCCATTGAAATTTCTGGTACCATGGAAGGTGGATGAACTCCTGAAACTGTTGTGCCAGGATCATCTCAACACCTTTAAACAGCAACAATAAAAACGCACTGAAGACATTACATACCTTAAAAAGACAACTCATTCTTTAGATTAACTGGTAAAACAAGTCTGCTTTGAGCACTGGACTCTTTAATAATGTTCTTTATGGAATAAAACTAACAACAGCAATTCAAAGATTAGATAGGAACCTTAGGAGGCAGGGAGTTTATATTCATTAATGTTGTAGATCTGCAATAAATATTGGCAAGTGACTATTGTAAGAACTCCTTGTGTTCACTAATATCTTGGGGACTCAGACAGGATTTTCAGACACACCTGGTAAGTAGATTCAAATTTGCTTTCTGGGAGGATTCTGAAATGTGTAGATAGTGGAATCGAAGTATAAGTATCTCAAACATCCAAAAGTGCTGATGTGACTTATTGTCTAAAGAGACTTTTGAAAGACTGATTCTCGGCATCCCCCACCACCTTTGCGAAACCAGGCCCTTGATGTAGGAACTGCAAGCTTGGTAAAGTCTCTGTCTGTCCTGGCCGTCCTTGGAGAGCACGTGGCTACCTGGGAGTGAGTTGGCGTGAGTCACTTATTCCAAATCTGTAAAATGAGAGTGAGATCTCTTAGCTCTATCTGTTGCTCTCAGGTGCCTGTTTTCTGATTATATACCTGGATATGCATCAGTTGTAAAATAGTGCTCAGTTTAGCTTCTGTCATACTTTGGGTACAAATCTGTATGAATGGCGGCAGAAGTTCTGTTCTTCATGGTCCCTTGGTGCCAGCCTGAATCTGATCTGCCTGTTGGTAAGAATAGAGGTTGTGCTATATCTGATGAGAAGAATTTGTAGTGTCCGTGTTGAGTAGAAGTAATATGTATCTGATGTGTTGCAGTTGTCTTCTATGTGATGAAGGTGCATCTGTATCATACCTAAGGATTGCACATCTACTGACACTTTTCTTTTGTTCACTTCATTTTAGATCAAAGGAGAGGGTGAAAGTTTCCATTCTGAAAAAAGTGCTAGAGAACATGGTGTATGATTAGCCTGTTTGCAAATGTAAATCCATAACCAAAAGACTATTTTATGAAATACAGTTGAGATGGATGACACCCAACTCAGGGTAGCAGTTTCTGATACACCAGCGACACCTAGTGACAAAAATAAATAGTTAGACTCTTCACAGGAAAATGGAGACAAAGCAGGCTCAGCTACGCAGTCTTTTCATTTCACATCCTTTTGTCCAGGACCACTCAGAGCAAGGCCAACAATATTCCCTCAGGCAGGTACCCATAAATTCTAACATATATGGGCAACCTAAGAGATCTTCTGAAAAGCACCCTCCTTTCTCTACCTTGAGTCAGTCTGATTGGAAAATTCAGACTCTTCATATTAAAATGACCCAATTAAAATGTTGTTGTTGTTATGTGCCATCAATTCACCTACAACTCATAGGGACCTTATGTACAATAGCTCCGAACCCTTCCCCATCTTGAGGCAGTCTTACTGACTCCAATACACCTACCCCCATTATCCCATAACTGTGTCAATCCATCTTATCTGAGGACTTCCTCTTAAAATACCTTACTTAATAACCACTGTGGTTTTTTTACTAAGTGAGCAGATTCAAGCTCTGGTAATCAAATTTCTGGCCAATAAGGAAAAGAGACAAATAGAAGCAGTCTGCCTTCATGTGACTATTCTAAGACCACAGCTACACTGAGCCTAATTAGAATTCAAATGGTGGAAGCCTAGTAGGAGGGCAGTTCAAAAATTACAGTCTCAAAGGGGGGAAAAAAGGATTTTTTAAAAAGAAAGAAATCCCTTAAACAGATAAACATGAACATCCTATGATTCTATGATTCCAAAAGAATGATTCTATGAAGCAGAAAAAATCCTTTCCTTTTTTTTTTTTTTTTTTAAAGGTTGTACCAAGGTTTATGCAAGCGCATGGGCCTTGACCCAGGGGACTCAGCTCATGTCAGAATTATTAATCTGACTGTTGTTTCCCAGAGCATCCCCGGCATTAGAAGGAAATGA